AAAAAAAAAAAAAAAAAAAAAGTATTTGTTGAATGAATGAATGAATGAACGAGTTTTAACTTGCCTCTCTGTGGACTTTCCAGGAAGATCCTCCATGGGCATATCTCTTCTTCTTCCATTGCAAGAGAACCATTCCTCTCTCTTGTAACAAAGTGGCACAGATATTCCTCATCAGTGTAGATACTTGGGAGAGCTGGGACAGGCTGATGCTGTCCAAGTACCCAGCAATGTACTGCAAAACCTCCAGGGGAAGGTTGGTTAAACAATGCTGGCTTTTTCCTCCATGGCCCGAGAGATGGTTGTTCTTCCTTCCCTCGCTCAGCTCTGGAGCAACCTCTGGCTTGATGGCAAAAGTCTTGAGCTCTTGACTGTAGATCACTTTTGCCTTTTGCCCTGGGGGACGGAAATGGTTCTGGACAAACGTACATCCCAAGTAGGCGAGGGGGCATCGATGCTGGAACCAGCCATTGAGGCCTGACTGAATGTCTGTGTGGACGTTCTTAAAGTGCTGGGGGAACTCATCCCTTCGGAAGAATTTGTTGCAGGTGAAAGTAAAGGCAGAGCTACTCTTGTTGTGTCTCCTGGTCACACACTCACTTTGGAGCTCCACGTGGAGTCCCCCCAGGTTGGCTGTGCTAAGGAGGTCAGCTAGCACTGTCCCAGAGGAAAACTGTTCTGGCTCAAAGTTATATGTCTGTGTGGCAAAATCCATGAACAGCCCATCGATGCTCCTGGATTCAGAGATAACATGGCCTTTGAGCTCTCTTTCCAAAGCACACTGGAGGGTGGTCTTAATGAGGTCTGATTTGGGCAGCTCCTCTGCGGTGACCCCCAGATCTGAAGTATCCACAGCCTTGTGTTCACTCGGCCTGCAGCTCAACATGGCATCTCCAAGCCGAGCTCGCTTTCCACAGTAGCTCACGGGAACTTTGAAGGTGTAAACAGTCTTAACTTCTTGAGCCTCGAGGTTGCCATAAACAAAGTCTCTCTCCTTGGGTGTACAGGCAGGCATCTGCCCAAAGTGAATGAGCATCCTCCCATTGTGCACTAGATACATATTATAGTCCTTTGCATCCACGGCTGTCTTCAGCCTTTCCAGAACACCATCCTGCCAGGGAGCAAGCCCTGTCTCTTCTACGACTGCAGCCAAGTTCCGCCGGTACAGGTCTTCCTGTGGCTCTTTCTCTTTGGCAGCACTTTCTGTGTCTGCTATGCTATTGCCGCTAGAACTCTGCTCTTTCCCTGCTCCTTTTTTATTCTTGTTTTCACACCTTGCCGATGCACTTGTTAAAGCAGTGGCTGCATGCTCTTTGCTGAACATGTTTTCCCACTGGTTGAACTTGGCCAGGTCCATCCCTTCTTTGGTTTTGGCTAATGCCTCTCGTTCTTCTTGGCTCAACTCTGTCATCTCCCCATTAGCTGCTGCATGTGATACGAAAGTGGCATCCACTCCCCCCACCGCTCCTGCCATTTCCTCCCAACTGGCTTCGCCATTCATAGTGGGTACCTCCTCAGTGGCATCTCTAGTCTCTGGGAAAAGTTCTACCATTTTCAAGGATTTGAAGAGGACCTTCTGGTCCTGCAGGGCCAGGGCTGTGTCCAAACATTCCTCACTCAGAGCCTCTTTCATGATGTTTTCGTGAAGGATTGTTTCTGAGTCCACGTTTGGCCAGCGGTTCCACTCCATGGAGCAGCAGACTACGCTGGCTGGGCACACCTGCAGGTGCTTGGCCAGCTTGTGACGGGACATGGAAAGGGGACAGCCGTATTCAGAGTTGAGACATGGAACCTGTTCTAAAGGACACAGGAGCTCATGCTCTGTTTCTTTGCACATGTGGAAAGTTGCACCGCATAGCAGGTGGCATTTTATCACCAGACAGGAGACACCCGGCTCCACAGGAACACTGCAATGGCGGTTGATGCATCCCTCACAATGCCTGTGCTGTCCAGGTGGGGACCTGTGTACCCTGCCCTGTACCCACAAAGGACAAAGGAAAAGAAAAAGCAAATGAATGCTGTAGGAGAAGCTCAATGCATGCCTGGGGCTGTGCTTTAATTAACTAATTTCCTGTCTCTCTGGGACTGTTGTAGGAACCTTGTAATATTGAGAATTGCAGAGAGAAAAAAATCCATATAACCCCACAGTCCAGAAATAATTTTAATAGTTTCTTCTACAGGTACAGTAGATATGTTTAGAATGGAACAAAATAGCTGAATGTTATGGAATACAATGTTGACAGTTGTTATTTTTGAGTTCTGAATAATGGGTGATTTATATCACATTGTGAATATTATGAATACAATTTTGTGCCTTCCCTTTTAACTTGCTATTATAACATGAGACTAGATTATTTTATTAATTATTCTTGGCATACTTTCCTCAAAATGGCAGTGCAACATTCCAGAATACTGGTGTGCTGTCATCCATGCAGCCGTTCACCTCCACAGGGCAACTGGAGGGCTGCTTTACCTCACATTTGCACCCCAGCACCTGGCATGGGGCCTGGATCATTGTTGCTACTTGATAGTATTTGCTGAATGAAGGGATTGTTAGCCATTTAGATTATTACTGGCTTTTTTGCTATTTTATTTTTAATTGACATACTATTTATACATATTTATGGGGTACAGTATAATTCAATACACATATACAATGTGTTACGATCAAATCAGGGTAATTAGCATTTCATCTCCTCAAACATTTATCTTTTTTATGTGTTGAAAACTGAATTTTTAAATATTCACTAAAAATTCTTGCCCATAAATTGTTCTCAACTTTCTGCTTTCCCTTTATTCTATGTCAATATCTTGCCAATAAATCAAACCACAGAGACAAGTCTGTTAGCCATTTCAGCTACAGGTTAAATAAATCAAGATCTGGACCTCTGGAAATTAAGCATCAGCAAGAATGTAGTACTTACCATAGCTTCTCAGTTTTTCTTGCTTCTTAACTATAGGGGGAAATATGAAAATATAAATATGAATGATTAATAAGAAAAGTAGTGTGATTATTTATTTTAGCAATGGCCAAAGAGACTTTACCTCTCTCATTAATTCCTCAACCATCCTGGAGATATTGCCCCCATTTTACAGTCCAGGAATGGAGGCTTTTTCCAAGGTCACATGGCTATGACATGATAGAATCTGGCTTTTCCAACAGAATCCTTGCTGGCCCATCATCTTTTCACAATCCACACTGTCCTCTGTTGGGGGCAACCATGCTTGTTGCTTCTTGTAACTTTTCTCCATTGTCTACTGACAATTATCCTGGAATTCCTACTGACCTTTTTTGCCCCCATCCAATCTAGCCCAAGTTACCCTCTAACTTTCTCTCTCACTAGGACTTTATGTCTACTGAGACGTCAGCCTCATACTCATTTTTGTCTGGAGCAAAGTGCCAGTGACCTATCTGTCACATGACATTCACCTTACTGTGGCTGGAGCAAGGGTCAAAACACAAAGAAAAGATGCCCTGTCTTCAAGGGAATTAAGTAGCTTCTGAGTGCCTGGGTGGCTAAATACAATGAAATCACTTCTGGAGAGCCAATTCCCAAGGAGACCTTTTTCAAGCCAGGGTCCCAGGGACCAGTAATAATCTAATACTTTTACACCAGCAATATGCCAAGAATGGGTCAAATCTTGCTGATTCCTGAGATACCCTCAAGGCTTCTTTCTTCTTATCCTTATGCAAAATACTTGCTTTCTTTTTTCTTTTTTAGTACACATTTGCAATAAATGATGATTGTATTTATAATGTGGTAAAGTACATAACACATCTTAATTCTCTTTTCTTCTAACTTTTAGTACCTTTCCATTTGCAAAAGGTCTATTTCCACTTTTTTCCTTCAATTCTTTTTTCCACGCTTTTGTCCTTCCCTCATTTATAGTTCCCTCTATATCCTGTTCCTCTTGCCATTTGAAAATGATCTCCTCATTTCTAATTACCTATCTTTTATTTTGCTCTTTTTTATATTTCAGGTTTCTCTCTTCAGCAATCACATCTCTTTCAGTTCCAACTTTAGAGATGGTTCTTTTGGGGACAAATTTTAAGTTTTCTAAATTTTTCTGTTCTTTTTGTCCCCAGTTCTTGCTATAAATCTGGCTAAAAGCAGCCAGAACTACTCATGCCACAACCTGAATGTTGAAATTTCATCTGCCAGACCAATTAGTCTACCACCCTCAATTTCAGTCTTCCACAGTCTCAAGAAATGATCAAAATGCAGAAAAATTTTCTTCCAGAGTGGATGAAACACACATGACCTTTAGACCAATTGCCAGTGGTGCACTTGTTACCAGCTGATATCTCCTGGGTCTGGCCTTTACTCCCCACATACCTATCAGCATTCTGGTTTTATTGTGAATTTATTGTAGAATTTTTAAAAATATATGACTAAAGACCCTGAAATTATCTGATACACAATAGGGAGCCATTTTACACTGTAATTTGAGTGTTGACTAGGCATAGCTGAGAGATAAATAGAGTAGGCCCTAGAGTGATGGAAGCTTGTATGGGTGAAAGGGAAAATAGAACCAGATAAGACGAGGCAGGTAGGACACATTACAAAGGGAGAATCGTATTTTTGTCTCTGGCTAGAAATGGAGGTAGAAGAGTCAAAGTTGATGACAAGAGTTTGAACCAGGAAGAGTGAATTTTGGCTATCATTTTGAGAAGAATAGAAGTCTTAGAGAGAACCATTTGTAGAGGAAAGATGGGGCCAGCAAATATATTACACATCATGACAGATCAGATGGGGATGGAGATCAGAGAACAATCCCCTTAAAATTGAAGGAGGGATCCCTAACTGGGGAGCGAGGACACAGAATAGATACCTGCACCACAAAATACAAAGCTATATATGACTACAGTAGGGGAAATTAGAAAGAAATAGATCCAGAGACGAGATAGACAGCTAAGCAATTCAGGACTATGTTGTCACAAATGTGAAAGATATGGATGCCACTACCAAGGACAATGGCAATAGTGCCAGTGCTTATGGGAGGTCCCAAAGAGCTCTTGCCGGAACAAATGTGGCATTTCAGCTGTAGGACCCTTGGCCATTGGAAATGTGTTTTCTCGGAGAGGAGGGGAAAGCTATTAAGTGCACACTCCAATGTTAGCAGGAAGAATGTGACCACATGCCTTCTATTCAGATTAGCCATTCATCCATTATGACATGGAGCTCAGTTCCAGGAAGAGAAAAGAAAGGCTTGGCTATGCTGATGGGCTTATTTTATAGTGAGAACTCTGTCCTGGCATCAGGGACATGTCTGGCTGGAGGAACACTGTGATAGTCTAAGGTCGATTCCCCCACTTTCTTTGCAGGACTGAGGATTGAATCAGGAGCCTTCACACTGAGCTACATTCCCAGCCTTTTTAAATTTTTTGTTTGGAAACAGGTTTTGCTAAGTCACGCAGTTGCCCAAACTGTGCTCAAACTTGCAGTCCTCCTGCCCCAACCTCCCAGAATACTGGGATTATAGTCACGCTCCACCACACTCAACTAGAACCAATCCCTCCTTACACTTCAGTATTTAGTGTATGATTCCTAAGAAAGTGTTATTGAAGCTGGGAACATTTATGGTAATTTCTGTTTCTATTTAAAAATCTGTCAGCCTCTGTAGTTCCAGGTAAGTGACTTTGAGAAAGGATATGTACTAAGCAGAAATAGATAGTGAGCAGGGACCATTCTGGAAAAATTTAGCAATAGAAGGAGGAAGAAGGGCAAATATTAGCCTACGATCAAAAAATCACATCAAGCTCTTTTATTACATATCTGGACAAAACTGGTCTCATTGAGATTCTTTTTTGGTACTGTGGATCAAACTTGGGTCCTTGAGCTTGTGAGGCAGGTGCCAGAACCACTTAACTAAATCCCCAGCCCTCACTGAGATTCTAGATAGTCTGATTAGCGCTGGGTGGTGAATAGGGTGACCCATCATCCTGGTTTGCCTGGGACTTTCCTAGTTTAGCACCGAAGTCTCATGTTCCAGGAAGTTCTTCAGTCCTAGGCAAAATTGGGCAGCTGATTGATCACCTTTATTGGAGCTAATTAGCATTGCCACGGATGAGTAACACTAGATGTATCATTGGCTGCCTTGTGACACAAGATGACCCTGTCTCCTTGTGTGTCCCTTCTTGGTTCCAGAGTGCAACCACCGAACCCTTCATGGGAAAGGAGTCATGGGATTAATCTAACTTTCTTACACTGAGAGGTTTCTCTGTGTTTCGGGTATTATGAAGGAACAGAAATAAGATTTTGGTGTCTATCATATGCATTTATGTTATACAACATCTCATTCAATCCTCAGAAAAACCACTAAAACTGGTTATTACTATTTCCATTTTACAAACAAAGATACTGAGGCACAAACTCTGTATCATTTGCTGCTTCATACTGTGTGACTTGGAGGACCACAGACACATCTCTGGTCCATGCCCAAGATTTGGAAAGAATGCAAGCCTTCAGCTACAGATGGGATGCAGAATAGTGCCCACGTGTGTAATCTATCCAGATGGAAAGGTGCCAGTTTTCTCCATTTGGGAAGCACATTCATCTCTACATAGATTTTTATTTATTTATTTACTCCTCTGGACTACATCCCATATTGTGTCCTCTCTGAGTAGAGGGAAAAAGAGAAGCATCTAGGTCTTGTGGCTTTGCATTGCAGTCAATACGAATGTGAAAGGTAAGGTTTTAGGGTTACAAATCTGGACTATGATATGGATCCTCAAATTTAAATGAAACACCAACTCAGTCACACAGGTTATAGGAACTTTTTTATGGGAAAATTAACAATCTAAATCTGAAGCAGAGTATGGCTGTCCAAGTGCCATTTCCCTGTTTAATTTCCATGATGTGTGCTCACCTTCATAAACCCTTGCTTCGTGCCTGGGAAGGCAATGCGTCCCATCATCTTACTGATGGACTTCAGCAGGGTATACAATCAATATGCTGTCCCCAAACTACTAATTTGTCCCTGGTTAGAGTAGATAGCAGTCAAAATAAGGTAATTTAGACTTCAATAGTCCAAAGATCTATATTGACTCAATGTTACTGACTCTATTAGGTGTTGTTTAAGTGCAATATGAGTTGGCAGGAGTACTGGGAGTGTGACTTCAAATAAGGAGTGCATATTTCTCTAAAGGAATGGAGGAACATTTGGAATGAGGCAGGAGGAGAGCAGCTAGATTTGATGCAGGTTGGGGTGCTATGTGGATCACTCCAAAGCAGTAAATTGACAAATAAAGCCAAGGCAGCCAATACAGTGGTTCTCAAAGTATGGTCCCCAGACTAACAGCATCAGAAAAACTTGAGAACTGGTGAGAAGTACAGATCTGAGGCCCTACCACAGACCTGTTGATTCAGATCTACTAAATCCAGTGGCCTCTATGAAAGCTTACCTTGGAGAACCACTGAGCTACCACCAGAGTGGTATTGTGTTCCCCAGGCACGAAGAAAGTACTGCAAGGTGGGTGACAGGGGCTTTACAAAAGACTTGGAATGGCAGTGGCCAATGCTATCCACCTCTTCCCATCTCTGCCTCTGCTGCCCATGTCCAGCCACCATGATCTCTCATCTGGAATAGCATGATGGCTTTCTTATCCAGCTCACTTCCCCAACTTGCAACCATAATCCATATTTGAAAGCAAAGAGTGATTTTACCATCTTATAAAATTAGGTCTTTTCTCCTCTGCTTAGAATCTCCAGTGATTCTCACCACAAGAAATAAAGTGTGAAGTCCTGATCATGACCCACAAGGTCTGAAGGAGTTGTCCCCTGTTTGTACCTTTCCTTTTCACTTCTTCTACACTTCACTTTGCCTGGTCACTTACTCCAGTGGGGCACCTGTGTACTTGCCCTGTCTGCCAGGAACATTCTCCCTCTGACCTTATTTGCACTGTAAGCTTTTTCTTGCCCTTTAGATTTCAGCTTACATCTTACTTACACCAAGACACTTATCCGACACCTCCATGACAAAGTAAATCAATGACACTCATGAATTAGCTGCACTCTTTGTGACAAGTTATTAATCTCCTAAAGCTAATGTATCCACACAGATAACGGGGTTCATAATATCCCATAAGCTTGTGAGATCCTCAAGTGAGTAAAAAAGGAAAGTGTTTAGTATACAAAAGCCCCTCAGCCGTTAGTCCTTTCTCTGTGAGGAAGACCATTCTTACGGTCACCTCCATTGCTTCCCACTGTACATCTCCTGTAGCCCCTGGCTAGCTGTCCAATTTTCAATTCCCCATCACACCAATGGGTCTTGTACACCATCGCCAATGCAATGAACTTCAAACCTACTGTGCAAAACAACTCATCTCACACTTTTCAATAATGTAAATTCCCTTGATTTCCACCCCTTTGTGCTCCCTAAATCACCAGCATTCCTCAAGCATTCAGAATTCATAGTGCACTAGGGCCTGGGACTTTTTTTTTTTTTTTTTTTCAGGA